GAGCCAGATGAGCTGCTGCACAGGTGACTCAACCACTGAATCAGTGTGTTGGACCAGAGAGACCACCAAAACGTGCTGGATACCGGCCCTCAAGGCCCGAACTTGAATAGACCTGCCCTACGCACTCGCACCCTTGGACTGGAATGCACAATTAAAGCGCACAAGGGCAGAAGTGTGAGTATTGGGATTGGGCCATAGTCTTTGTTTGCAATCTGTCCTGCCTCCATACTTCCTGATTCCAGAGTCAATCATATTTCGGGTTGTCAAATCTGCACTGGCGTTTGTAATTCAACACCGGTTGGCAAAAAGCAGCGTTGTGGAAAGAATGTTAGCCAGTAAAAGGAGCGGTCCGGAAGTTATTTCTTGTACCCCCTAACCCCACTTCACGCTGGAAGCGTCAGCGGCACGGAACGGCACTGCTTCAAACAGAATCCTTTATAATGTATGGGGGCGACTCAAACCAGCCTCAGGTGTGTTCCAGAAGCGGCTTGCCGATAGGATTGGGTTCTATTTTAGCTGCATGTTGCTTCTGGGACACGTCAATTTCTTCAGTTAACATAGGGCTAGACAGGAAACCACACACGTTTTCAGTGTAAAACCCCTGGTAAATTTCAAAATAATGTGGCGATGTGATTTAATATCTATGTATTACATTAATGCATGTGACCTAACAGCTTATTTACTCACAGCATTGTTCCAGAAGTGCAGCAGTGTGTTTTCATAGCTTTGATTCTGGCAGTGGAGAGGAACAGCATCGTATATGACATCAAACAGCAATAACAAACGGGATTTCTTTCTTTGGTTTAACGGTGGATCACATAAACTCGAGGGATTTTGTGATCTTGTGTAATGAATTAAATTACATGTTATTTAATAAGCCATAAGGCGTAGGATTCTGTAGGAAATATGAAATCCACCTTATGGAATGTGAGGTTATTTTAAACCAGAATATTGGAACTTTTTAATGCAGGGATTAGATAACAGCTTCGCATTCACTCAGAGACAACAGAAGAGAGAGAGAGAGTCAAGTTTAAAAGTTAAGAATTTTATTACTAACAAATTAACCTGGACTGACTTTAAACACTACATGTATGGTGTAACTAAGGTGGATGAGACGGTGAATTGGATGACGTGTGATGTTGCTCAGAACCAGCAAATCCGTAGAAGCGATTAGTTCTGATGGGAACTGAAGGTGATGTTAAGCTTTGATTAGGAGATTCATAAACACATTCTACGCCATTTGCCGGTCTTCCTACCCTGGTGGGAGTCCCGGTTAGATCAGGAATGTCGAGGTCCAGCTTGACCTTTTCTGGAACCGAGCCGGTAGGAAAAGCAGCGGTTGCTGACCAGACCAGTCTGTGAGATACTTCCAGGTCACGGCAATTTTATTGGCGTCAGGTGAGACCTGAACCTGGGTCTTGATGGTTCAGCTTTTATTCTGAAAAGAACCGTTGCAGCAGTTTGAACAGCAACAGATTTTCCAGCTTGTCGTTGTTCTTTCGGCTGAAGAGGAGAGTTGCGGATTGGCCACTCCGACACTTTCTCTGGAATGCTTTGAACTGGCATTAGAGATGACGTGGCATAGTTTTATACTTCGGATGTTATGGTTTATTGTCGAATGAAAAGTTGAAGAGTTACCAAACACCACCAATACCACGCCTCCGTCAGATCTGTCAGATTCTGATTGGATCAGTGAAAGGAATGTGTCATATCTTTTAACGCAACGTGAAATCAGTCCTGATGGAACATTTAAAGTCATATTACTTTTATATTCTATAGGATTATAATAAAGTAATTAATATTTTGATTTCACAGATTGGTCACATCTTATTTATTGACTAACACTTGGTTGGATTAGCTTTATTAAAATAGAGTTCTTTGATTAATTAAAAGAAAAGAGTTCATTCTTCATTCTTCTGTTGAGCGGAAAATAAGCAGGTTAGAAGCAAATGCATGAGACCTTGAGACCATATCTCATGCAGACTAGTCCTGTGTCAGAGGAGGGTAAAAACAGTCATTTCATTCTGTTACACTTGCAAGTTAAGCGAGAAGCACGGCAGAGAAGCCACTCCATGTCTAAGATTCTCTCGATGTGTACTGGCACGTAGCAAAAGCCGAGTAAACCGTTCCGCAGCCACTTCACTGATGCTTCCAGTATGAAGTAGGGGTAAGAAGTCACGGCTTCCTTTTGTTCTACTCTAATATTGGGTAAAGAAAGCTAAAGGCTAACACTGAGCAAACAATGCTAACAGTGAATAAAATAAATCTGCTCTAAAAATACGTCAAGCTGCCGTTTTCAATCACCAACCACTTTTACGGTGAAGTGTGTTTTTAACATCCAGGTTTCCCTTGAAAAAGGTTTTTATCTCAGTGTGGTTTTCTTCCTGGTTAAATAAAAACAAACAACCACACTTCCTTCCACTCCAGAGGCCTATTACCGTAATAAGTGTAGCAAGAATTTACTACACTAAAACACCCAGGAATGGGTACCTTTGACCAATTCCCGGTACCTACGGATCAACTCCGGTACTTAACCAATTTTCGACACATTTGAGTGTTTAATAATTATTTAAATAGCTTTTTTAATTAAATATATATTATTTTCCCAATATATAACCATAGTTGATAAATATCATAGAATTGTTTGTATTTTATCATCGTAGTGTTGTACAAAATTCTTCAATATGAAAACTTTCAACAGCTGTTTCTAAATTACGTAAAAACCAACCCAGCTCCATGGACTCATATTCCTCTTCTATGCCCAAACTGCAAATAAAGCTAAAGCAAACTTCGATACCATACAACAGTTTGTATTTATATCCACAAAAATAAACAATCAATGATGAACAAGAGTCTGCTTCTAGACCTGCAGAAAGAGAAAAACATCGCAAAACATTACAAAAAGAGCAAGCTATCACTGCATCAACCCAGTGATGAAATATAAAATCAACATTGTTTTTCTGAACAATAACACGATAATAAATCACAGTGCATTTAGTGTCAACTACAGCCATAAGACGTGTTGAAAACGCCCAAGTCCATACTTATGAGAGCACCATGTGAGCACCTGTGTGCGTACCCACGCTTGTATATGTAAGGTTTCTCTATAGGAGCGTCCAATAGAGAGTGTGAGGGGCCACAGATCTGCCCCCAAAGATGTGTAGAAGATGGAGGGAGCTCCAAGCCCCAGAGATCCAGGAGCTTCCCCAGAACACAGGACCCAGGCTGCCAGTCAACTTCAGGGTTCATTTCTGGTCTTTAGGGCCTTACATGGACAAGCACCATCATACACTGGTGATCTTCTCGGTCCCTACACCCCCAGCAGGTCCCTGAGGTCCAGTGACCACAGTCTACTGGTTGTGCAGCACCAGGCTAAAGACCAAAGGTGACAGATCATTTGCTGCTGTGGCCTCCAGACTCTGGATCTCTCTCCCCAATAGCCTGAGATCAGTGGACTCAGTGGTCTCCTTTAAGAAGCAGCTGAAAACTCACCTGGGGGTCCTTGTAGTTTAATAAACTGTTAGTTACACTGAAGCAAACATCTTTGCTGTGAACTACATTTACTGTGTATCTTCATTCCTTTTACCGTTCTTTTTCAAACTGTTTATTTTTCTTACTTGGAAGTTGGAATTTCCAAGGAGAAAGCGAACGCACCATTAGCTATGGAGACAAAAACTAAACTATCAAGCTAACGTTATCTTAAACAGTTTATTTTGCTGCTGGAGCAGATTAAGATGCCTCATACTCAGATCATTGTTGCTGGTTTCATCATCACCCAATAGCCCATCGCATTTAGTGAAGTGAAGCCAAACTTTAGGGCGCGTTTGCTTTCTTCTAGTCGGAATTTCGGAGTTCCGAGGAGAAAGTGAACGCACCATTAGCTGAATGGAAGCTAACACAGCAAGCTAACGTTGTCTTAAACATTTCACATACCTACCGGAGCAGATTAAGATGAGGATGCCTCATTTAGATCGTTGTTGCTGGTTTCATCATCACCCAGTTGCCATTCCCAAACTTCAGAACGCTTCCTCTCTGCCATGCTGCTTTGTTTACAGCTTGTCCACAGTGACTGATGACATTACACTCTTGCGCCGGTGTGTGGCACGTGTACCAAAAAAAAGCACCATTTAAGATGACGTGAATCGGTACTCAGTCGGTACTGTGGGATTCAGTCGGTGCCTTAAAAAGTACCAAATTCGGTACCCATCCCTACAACCAAGACACCAAAATACGACTGTATTTCTCTGATCATCAACTTACTGCGTATGACTCGATTCTGCTCGTCATCTAGAACTTTCTGGTGCTGATCTGTAACCGGCAACAGACATGAAAATCACAGAAGAGTAGTGAAAGAGACGCCTTTTGTTTTGACTGCAGTACCTAAATTTGACCACAGGACGTCATTCTTACTGCATGCACCTTTTAAATCCTAGCAGATACAAAACCTGAGCCAAGAACTTAAGGACTGACCCCACCCATCTAGCCCACACAATATTCACCCTCCTTTCAGGCAGGAGACTGAGCATCCTCAAAGAAAGAACCAAAAACCAAGGGGAACAGATTCTTGCTATGCAGTGAGGCTCATGAACTCGTCAGAGTAAAGGGGTGCTGGCGATCATCATAAGAGGCAGGGGATACCCTGGACAGGTCTCCGAGTCCATCACAGGGACACAGACAAACGCCGAGTCACACCCAGGGACAATTTAGAGACTCCAGTTGACCTAAACATGCACGTGTTTGGTATGTAGCCAAGATTAGAACCAGCAACCTTCTTGCTGCAAGGTAACAGTGCAACCAATTCTGCCACCATGAAGCCCACTCACAAATTCTGTTCATGCTTTTATGATTGATGTAGTGATGTGTCAGTCGCGAACGAGCCAGCTCTTGAGCCGGCTCTTTGGAGTGAATGACAGGAGCCGGCTCGTCATTGGGAGCTGTCCCCTCCCCTCCCCTCCCTCCCCTCCCTCCCCTCCCCTCTTGCTTTGGTGAAAGCTACAGGCGATTGGTCAACATGTGTAACTGCGTGTCCAGACTGTCCACACACAGAGCAGTAGGGGCAGGGAAGAGGGAGGATCAGACTCAGACACACAGCAGAGCACATGCGGGTGGAGGGAGACGAGAGGGAATGAGGAGGAGGAAAAAGGAGAGCGAGAGAGGAGAGTGCGACGAAGACGGTGAGAAAACCAGCGCCAGCAGTCGGAAAGTGGAGATTTCTTAAAGTGTTCAGTCATTAAATCCATAGAAATGATAAACATTTGATATATAGCATTTTTTACATTAGTAAATAATTTTACGTATAGTTTTGCATTATTTTGGTTATAAATGTACTCTACGCAACAGAAAATCTGAGGAGCCACTTGGGAGCCGAAAGAGTGAGCTGAGCTTTTTGGTGAGCTGAGCCAAAAGAACCGGCTCTCTAAAAAGAGCCGGAATTCCCATCACTAGATTGATGAACATTTACAAAGTGTTATTTAGGCTGACCTGACTAACAGATTAGTCCTCACGTGTCTCCCACTTCCTGTTGAAATCTGATCAAAACGTTTGTAAAGAAAAAAGCTGGTTGCCTGCCACCAGAGGGCGCTGCACCCCACGCTATAGGATCAAAAAGAATCCGGAGCCCAACTAAAGAAAAACGCTTTTTAGCCATCATCACACTGTTTATTTTTTTTACATTTGAGTTACACTTTTACAAAGTCCCCCAGGTTTGTTTTTGTTTGGGGATTTTCAGTGTCCATGGAGGTTTCTGAAGTCTGAAAATAAATAGAAATGGTCGGCTACATATACAGGAGGTTTGAGGTTTGTTGTAATTAGTAACATGAAAGCATGTGCAGATATTTTCTGGGCGTCCGTCCTACAGGAGGTCCTGCTCAACCCAGACAGTCTTCCTCTGCTCATCCAGAATTCGGTCTTTGATGACCCGGATCAGGTCGTCCGTCCCCGCCCAGGACTCGGGTTCCAGGGTGGCGTACAAACACGGGACGCCATCCAGCTCCTTCTCCTTAGACCGACACAGCCTCACTAACTCCTCCTCCGACTCCACACGCAGAGGCAGCTTCCTGTGTGGACAGGAAACAGGAAGGAAGCAGCGGTGCGGTGAGTGTGGTGTTGTTTGGAGGCTTGTATCTGATCGCGTAGATGCTGTCGGACGAGTTCATTGTGATTTACGTCGCATCACTGGCTGGACTGATTTCTAAAGACACAATTCATCTTAAAAAACTTCTCTGATCAACATATTCATGAACAACTTCAAAAATATGTTTTAAATTTAAAAACAATACCAACACCCTCATCTAATAGCCACCCATATCTCATTACGCCACCCGATCTCCATAACGTCACACGAGAACTGACGTGTGGTTTCAGTAACGGGTAGACGTGTGGCAGTGACTGAGACTGGGTACCTCAACTTCTTCACATTCTTCTCACAGATCTTGACGTAAATGATGATGGGGTAGATTTCTCGTCGCAGAAGGTCCTTGACACAGCTGAGCTCCGCCTCCAGCAGGCAGTGTTTGCCCTAACAGAAAAGAAACTAGCGTGTGAGGTCAAACACAGATGTCTGGCACATGGTCACGCTTTCTACATGCCAGTTAAAGGAGATATCTCCCATTCGCTAATCTGAGGTTAAACCGCTTCACACAAGTCAGAAGTGTCAGGCTACGTCCTGCATGCAGCAGCTTCAAGAAGGGCAACCATTTTCCACTCCAGTGGTCACCTGACACAGTGGTTTTAGACGGGTCAATAAACATCTGCCCTCACACGATCAGATACTGAGATAAGATCCCTCTTCATGTTTGCTGAATTTCAGTTCCATCTGAAAGTTTTTGTAATGGTTGGTCAGAAGATTCGTTTGTTTAAAGGTGAGTGATATTAAATCATGATGATTTGGACGTGTTGTCTGTAGGGGAATGTCAGAACAGAGCGTGTTTCTGCCTGGATCGTCTTAGGAGTGACACACTGTGAGCCTGATCACCCCCTGGGTGTTTCTCAATGCCAAGGAACCTTGCCTTGATGTCTTGGCCCCGCCCCGGTTGCCTAGGAGATACGTCATCGGGAGCCACCAAGACGTGTTCCAATGTTCATGTTCTACCGAGGCGTGTTCTCCGTTTGTTAGCCGTTTAGCTAGCTGAGCAAGGACACACGGGAGGTGTCTTGTAGCCTAGAGCCGGCAGCTAATCAGGGACAATTTTCAAGTCTTAAAGTAAGTCAACTAATTTAAAATGTTTTTCTAGATCCAAAGAAGTTATCTATGGTTGGTTAGTAGCTTAGTAGTTGCAGCTTTGTTGGCTAGCGGGTAGTAACTCACTTATATATTTAATTTAATAAACATATCCACAATTTAAAAAGTTAAAGGCTCGTTATATATTTATATTGAAACTAATACGTATAAAATATAATGTTGTCCCTGTGTTACGTGACGTTACATGACCGCTGTGGAAGCTGCAGTCACGTGACGCACGTCTGTTCCATTTAACCATTTTCTTTGACCAAGGAAGGACAGTGTCCTCCTAAGCAAGGTGCCTGGCCTCGCAAGACATCGTCTCGCAAGGCCAGGCGCCTTGACATTGAGAAACACCCCCTGCCTCATTACAGCGTGTTATATCCGTAGCCACAACATGGACAGGGGTTGCCTATTTGAGCTGGCATAGTAGTGAGTCGCCATCTTGTATGGGTCCCCAATTACACAGACATCATATACATAGACGACCTGTGGACTGGCGCTGCCTATTGGAGCTGCCGTAGTGGCTGGCGGCCATCTTGGATTGGTCTCCATTCACCCTTCGCCATTTATTTCTACTGAAGAAGGTGTTTACCCAACTAAAAACAAATTTTATGAAGCTTTTACACAAAATCAGACATTTGGTATGGTATGATAATTAAAATATAAATATATTTAAACTAAGTAAATTAAAATAAGTTAAATTATAAAATCCCAACAGGTCAGCTAGAAAACTCAATAGTAATCCCACATGATCTGTTTTCAATAGTGAGCAGTTACAACCGTAGGCTGCACAAAAAACGGGCATAGTTGCCCACTCTGCGTAATTCCAATTCAGTTTGGAGAGTAAGGAGACCCATCCAATATGGCGGTGATGCCGTTACTCTCTCCAGCGCACAATGACATGTCTACGTATTCCTGTCTATGCTATTTTCATAAAATAAAGCTAAAACTGGGTTTACAGGATCATTATCTTTAGCTTTGTTCTTTTGTCTGCCATATTTATGCTAATTACTGTAATGTTTCCACACCTCAAACCTGGTAAATGACGACACCTTGTGAGCTTCTTAATTCCTTTCTTTAATCGGCAGTCTTTCAGCCATGAAACAAAACACTCTGAAACCTTTCCTGGCTCTCATCACCCTTTCACTCCTCTTTCTAACTTCCTTTTCCTACTCTCAACCTTTCAAAATAAAATACATGTGAACATCACAAGCACCTGTTAGCGCAAGGCAGCTAATTAGCTATGCCTCCAATTTTATATGTTTGGGGTAAAATTTGGATATAATGTGGCTGTAATGTTGTAAAAATTTAAAAAGCTATTTAAAAAGTTGTGATTCAACTGTAAAAATAAATCACGAGTTATTTTTCCCAGATCGTCTACCTCTGCCTTTATGTATATATATATATACATCACAAACACTTTATTAATTTTTTTTATTTAGTTATTGCAAAATCTTTTTGATATTTATAGCAAGTAATTGTTTATCTCAAAGTGTGTTTCCTAACCAGTGTGGGTTTGGAGAAACAGACAGATGAGCTAACGGCTAGCCTGAGCGGGGCCACGCCCGAAGCAGATTGCTGCCATCTCAAAACACCAAACAATGGGTTTATGAAACAGAATTTGCATGAATTGCTAATGAGGTTGGACTTGTTTTACGATAGCAGTAGTCAGCATATTTAGCCTTTGCCCAGCTACAACTAGTCTTTAGCTTATCAATCTGGACTGATATGATACATCTTTCTCAAAATGAAGGCTGTTTAAAGAGTCAGCTTCAACAGGTAAGATGTTAGTGGTGTGAATGCTAAAAATTCACATCAAATCTTCAGTGCATCTTGGTTTCTGGTTGCTTCGTAGTTTTGCTCTAAAATTTCCTCATAGAACTTGAACGTGTTCATTTGCAGTAATCTATGCAGATGAGTGCGCACTTGTCGACGAGAACCTACTTTGGCAGCAACAGCCTCAATGTTTTCTCTAGTGATGCACTCAAAAGTGGTCTGCTTCTCCTTGTAGTGAATGAAAGGCTCCACGTTCTGTTTCAGGTGGAACTCCTCCTTGGACAGGGCGTCTGCACAGCGGAGGAGAGAGGCAGAAATGAAATTATGCTCATCTGTTAACCTGCAGTCACAGCAGAGTTATCAGGAGGAACAGAAACTTCAGGTTTAAGACCCTGGGGACTCATAACCTCACACTCTGCCAGCTCTCCAGATGTTCAGCTTTTCACATCAACAACTAATCCGACCCTAACCCCTCTGAACCAGGAAGTTGCTCCTCCTCTAAGATCAGCATCGTTTTAATGGTGAGTCAATCACATGAGGACAATAGAGCAACAGTGTCACCAGCATGGAGCTTATCAACTAGGCCATCTCCCATCCTGTTTTCAAGCGTCTCTGGTTACATTTCTGAACATTTACACCACAGTTATGAAAAGGACTCGACTACAACCCCTAGTGGCTTCCTTTTGCTACCCAGCTCTTGCGTGTTAGCTCTTCTCACAGAGAGATTAGAGCTCACCTGGTTTGCAGATGTTGAAGTCCATGGCCGCCCCCATGTTGAGGATCTTCTGTATGATGGTTTTGGCTAAAGCAGCAGGAGCGAACAGGACTGGTCTTCTCCTCTGGGTCTTCTGAGGGGTGATGGGACTGTAGGGAACCAGGTTCAAACTCCTGGTCAGATCGCTGTCCGGGTCTTCTGCTCTCAGACAACAACAAGATATTTCTTCTCAGTTAAAAACACAAAACTAGTTCAGACTTACAGGCTCCACAGAACAGATTTAATAATTGAAAACTCATCCATCCTTTATGCAAAGGTTTCATGTTTCTTGTTGCTGCAGATGCTAAAATTAGATTTAAACCAGGTGGTAAAATTAGTCTGATCAGAATTTTCGTTTTTGTCTTCTTTGGAAACGTTTGTGCTGTGTTTCCATCTTCCCGTGGAGACTTCAGGTTCTCTTGTCAAAATTAAATCTGATATTTCCACAGATTTTAATGATGATGTCTATAAATATCTTCTCATGTCATCACACTGCCACTCCCGTGCTCCACTGCTGTCATATTTAGACTAGTCAGAATTAGCTTGGGTAAAAGAAAATCATTTAGGCTCCGCCCACAATGTGCAAGATAGTTTTCGACAAAACACACACACACACACACACACACACACAAAAGTAACAATAATCAACAGAACTCATATTTCTCTTTTATATATTATATTGTTAAAAATTACAGTTTAATTAAAAAATATAAAATTGTGTTTACTATAAATTAGGTTTAGTTTAAAGGTGTGGTTGACTGAAAAAGCATTTTTAATTTCTCTTGAGTTTTTCATGTAGGCTGAACATGAAAATAGTCTCCTACACCTATCTCCTGCTTGAGCTTCTGACAGACACTGGACGGTGAAACTCTAGGATTAGAAAGCCTGACAGGTCTACGTCACACTGTGAATTAGACATACCCGTATTGACTCACGATGGATAAAGCTGTTTTTGGTTTAGCTTCCAGGACACAGCAGAGAATATCTTGGCTAGCAGGTGCTAACCGCTAGCATTAGCAAATCCACCACACAGCAGAACTCCTCCAGGCTTGTGGTTTTTGTGGAGATAAAACATCAATGTTGCAGATCAGACAGAGTCAGTGGTAGAGTCGTGTTGCTGTCAGCCAGTCCGAGACAAATATCCAAGTCCTGTCGTGTTCAGCTCAACTCTGATCAAACTCTCAGAAACTTACAGCTGCTAAGTAACTTTCAGAAAAAACTATTAAAAATGGCCACCACAGCCAAGTACCACAAACAAATAGAAAAATGTTCTCAGAACATTTGATTCAAGATTCAAGATCATGTATTGTCGTTGCACAGGTGCATAACTGTCACGGTGAGAGCAGGAGGTTAGGACCCAGATGCAGAATGCCCAGAACGACTCAAGGCCGGAGAGGTTTGAGAGAACACTTCCTTTATTTTAAAGGCGGAAGCGCCAAAGTCCAGAGGCACAAAAACAAACCTGACTTAATATCAAACTCGCAGAATGAACAAACAAACAGAAGCTCACTCGTGAGCACGAACCAGGGTAACTAGAGGAGGACAGAACACGCCGACAATTACAATGAGCCAACCACCCTGAAAGACACAGACAGGGTCATATACACAGAGGGAAACAATCAGGGAAACCGGTGACAGGTGTGAGTAGTGAGATCTGGAGGGAAGGCAGGTGCATACAATAACCTAAATGAGGGGAAAGAAACAAGCAGGATGACAGATAAACCTTAAGCTATAAAACACGGATAAAACTAGACCTAAAGACTGAGGGCCAAAATAAACAACTCATAACCAGATGGATGAGGAGGACTAAAATAAGATTGACTAGGAATTATCAGGGAGTGATTAGGAGGACACCTGAGGGAAGTCTAGAGAGGGCTGGGGATAATAATGGGACACAGCTCAGTGGCCTAGTGGTAGAGTGTCCGCCCTGAGACTGGGAGATCAGGGTTCGATTCCTGGTCGGGTCAGACCAAAGACTTTGAAAAATGGGACCCAACGCCTTCCTGCTTGACACTCAGCATTAAGGGGTTGGATTGGGGGGTTAAACCACCAAATGGTTCCTGAGCACGGCCGTGTCTGCAGCTCACCGCTCCCCCAGGGGATGGGTCAAATGCGGAGAACAAATTTTCGCACACACACCTGTGTGTGTGACAACTAATGGGACTTTAACTTTAACACAAGAGGAGAACCTGGAGTGAGAACAGGAGGAGGCTGGCGACAGAATGACACAGAACACGACAATAACAAGGCTAAAGTAGGTGCTCTCTCTCTCACACACACACACACACACACACACACACACACACACACACACACACACACACACACACACACACACACACACACACACCTTTCACAGCCAGTTGAAGGTGCAAAAATGTAAAAATATCATGTAAACATGTTAATAAGACGAGTGTAAACGTCAAACTGAAACGAAAAGTGAACAACACATAAACGTAAACTCGCTAATGTTGACGAAGCTCTGGCTGGGATCCATCTTTAGTTCGCATCAGGCTAGCCGACATGTCGGCTGCATTTGTTTTCCACAGTTTGGCACTAAATTAAAGTCACACCACCCACCCCTTCCACATCTCTCTCTGTCAGCTTTTACTTTGACGTATACTTCAACTCTTTTTAAGGTTCAGAGTTAGCATCTTTTTTTTAATCTACACACGCCTGCTGCGCTTCCACTTCCTCTTACTTTAATATATCATCTAACATATCAGCTTCCTTCTGAGAGATCTCTGAGACAAACACTCGAGCTTCGTTAGAAGACGTTTAATTGATGTTTTTGTTGTGGTGGGGGCACTTTCCACTCACCGTCGGGCCTCGGCATCTCAAAGCTTTGCCTTGGTAGGACGCCGCTGCCAGAGCTGATGATCCTCACGCGTTCACTGCTGTTCATTCGCTTGTATTTGATGTCCACCCTGCTGACAAACTACAAATACTCTGGTGTTTTTTTTTTTTTTTTTTTTTTTGAGGGAAAACTGTTTCTGGATTTGCCTCGATGATTTGTTTCACTTCATTACCTGCAGGATCTGACTGAGGAAGGTGCTGGCTCTGGACAAGCGAGGACTGGCCTTAGGGTCAGGAGAGCAGCCGGCCTCTTCTGGCTGTAAGATGTTCTAGACAAACGTGGTTTTTAATGCATAATGTCGAGAGTTTCAATGACTTCAGCTCCAGTACGATTTTCAGGAAAATTTCAACGTTTCAAATACTTTTTCACAGCTTTGAGTGTTTCTATATGTTTAATATACAGTTTTTATTTTACAGCGGATGCAACTCATGGGTTGTTGTAATCTAATTGGAGTATTGAGGTGTTGGGTCGGTTCCTCTTTGGGTTTCCTGTTGCATGGAGGGAAGATATCAGGGTGGATTCTTACCCTGCAGTTGCGATGGTTGTCGTTTTCCTCCTTGCTGCCTCGACACACAAACTTCTGGATTTTTACCAGCAGCAGCTGCTGAGCTCTGTGGTCACAACGAGTCACGGATCGTCATTAACATCACGTGGGATTGTTAAAGCTCTTATTCGTTTTTCTACGCGTTTGCAGTGGTCTCTGGTATAAATGAATGCCAATCTACGTGGACAAAAAGCTCTGGCGCTCCTGTTTCAGGAAGTAGAAGTTAGTCGGTGGATGGGGGAAAATGGCGGGTTCTGGAGTCTTACTCATTAATATTCATGATTTTCAGATATCGCACCTCTGAGTGGCTAACAGCAACACGGCTCTTCCACTGACTCTGTTTGCTCTGCAACGTTGACGTTTTATCTTCACAAATAACACAAGCCTGGAGGAGTTCTGCTGTGAGGTGGTAGCTAATGCTAATGGTTAGCTTCTACTAGCAGAGGCTCTGCTCTCTCCTTGGCGCTAAATTAACAACAATCTTCCCCGTCGCGAGTCAAGATGGGTGAGTCCATGAATGCCAGTTTCACAGTGTGACATAGATCTTTGTGGCTTTGCTGACCCGTAGATTTTCAGAGAACCTGCTGTTTAGGTTTTTGAGTCTAAAAGCTTGCTGTTACCGTGAGTTGCTGGGTATGGTGCCACACTCCGTCAGGTCCGATCCAGTGTAGGGGTCCACACGGGCGCACAGCCACTCACAGCGGCCCTGATGTCTGGTGTCCAGAACATGCACCACCTCGTCACAGCGCACGTTTAGAGAGCAGGTGTCCAACTGTCCGCAGATGTTCAGGTTCACTCGTATGTAGAAGGAGTCCCCTGACGCCAGCGCACCGCTGCTCAGATCCCTCTGGAGACGCCGGAACGCTGGGGAGCGCGGACACCATCAGTGAAACTCGGCTGAGTTCGAACAGCCTTAGTTTGCAAAACACAGATTAGCTCTATTGGACTGATGGGCTAACAGCTAGTCTGAGCAGCAACAAGGCAAAGCGGCTGTCCTGAATGTGGAAGATATTAACGTTTTATGTAAATACTCTTTATATTATAACCAGTTTCATGTTACACGTGTTTATGAGAATTCTTTAGTCAAATGCTAATAGCAGCAGTGGTAGCTAGCTAGCCGTAGCCCAGCGGGGTCCAAAATGTCGAAAACGCAGGCCCAAGACCACCTAGGTGAAAATACTCAAAGGCAACAACAGTTAGATTTTTTTATATCACGTAAATATTTTAAATGGCCCGTATTTGTAGAGCGCCTTCGTAGGGTTCTACAACCCCCCAAGGCGCTTCACAACACAGTCAGTCATTCACACATTCACACGCTGGTGGGGATGAGCTACGATGTAGCCACAGCTCCTGTCACCACTCACTCAGACCACCAGCAGCAGGCAAGGCGGGTTAATCCTCTTGCCCAAAGGCACAACAGCAGCATTCTCTGGTGGGAGCTGGGATCGAACCTCCGATTGCTGAACAACCCGCTCTACCTCCTGAGCTACTGCTGCCCCAAAACAGCAAAACAGAAAGAACGGTTTTGCTTTTCATAGAAAACTTCGTATAAATCTAGATAAACTCATCGTAAATGCACTTCCTCCAGCAGAATCAGCTGAGGATGGATTGTGTTTCCACCAAAATGGGTTTTAGTGGAGTTTTGTTTGCCTGTTTCCTACTCACCAACATCCATTACACAATTACGTAATAAAACCACCAAGTATTTGGAGCAAAGTGTTTTGTGCATCTTAAAAGATCTAAAGTTTAAGGCATGACTGGACTTTGAGTAAACGACCCAGATGGCCGTCCCACCCCTGGACAGCAGCAACCCAACTCCAGATTAGCCGTTAGCTCATCCGTCTAGT